TTAGCATTAAATGGATCAAAGGCAAAATTATGGTATAGACATTTGTAATGTCACAAAATATTTTTTATGTCAAAATGCTGTTCTCTTCTATTAATCCTAAAAAACACTTATCACAGTTTCCACAAAAATATTAAACTGATTTTAACATTGATAACCATAAGAAATGTTTCTTGAGCAACAAATCGGCATATTACAATTATTTATGAAGGATCATGTGACACTGAAGACTGAAAATTCAGCTTTGCGTCACAGGAATAAAAACATTTTAAAATATTTTCAAATAGAAAACAATTATTTTGTATTGTAGTAATAATAATATGTAATTATATTTCATAATATTTCTGTTTTTACTGTTGATCAAATAAATGCAGCTTTGGTGAGCAAAAGACTTCTTTTTTTTATGAAACCATTTGCAAAAACATTTAATCTCAAAGTTAATCTAATGTACCTATGAACACCCCTTATTTATGGCAAATTAATGGTAATGTCTCTTGTGAATTTAGTTTAAAATATCCATGATCTATGTTTTTAATGCCTCACCCTCTGCTGATTGTGTTATGTACTGCTTGTACTGAAGTATGTTTATCCAGCTCACTGTGAGCTTCTGTGTATATTTATAGCTTGCTTGCAGTGTTTTTGTGTCACGGTTGCCTCTGCCCATATTAAAGACCGTTATGAGTCACTTCTCACTTCAGTCTCTGGGAAACCATGATTCATTCAAGCTCTGTTTCAGCAACCAGTGCCCAAAATACTCTGGCATGGAGTCTCCCCCTATCTTTACATAGAAAGCCTGCTTAGGAATGCCCTGATTGACTTGAGGAGTGATACTTCAGCTGTTTAGCTAACACCTGATTGCCTTTAAATAAACAACGCTAATTTGTAGAACTGTAATTCATATGAATAACTAAGTGAACTGGCACAATTTACATTGGCATTTTGTGTCCAACAGATGTGAATGCAATTGTGAATGCATTGTGGGACATTTCCCACGGAGTACCAAAAAATAGCTTGCATTTTTCAAAGGGATCCATTCTTTCAAACACCATTTGTTCACATCCTTTATACTGGCTTGTGAATATGACAGTCACCCTCTGAAAGAGAGACGGCTAACCTTATTTTGAGCACAATAGTTCATTGTCGAAACTAATGATGTCATTGTCAAGTTTCCTGCTGGAAAATCCCCCCAAGATGAGCTTTTATCTAAGGTGTGTTGTGTCATTCTGTTTGGTTGTGTGTGGCTTTCTCTCCTGACCTGCAGGCTGAAAGTATCAGGCAGCACTGGATCACCGCTCCAGCAGCCTGCCACGTCCTGCAACACAAACCATGAGCTCATGGAATCTGCAGATAGCGGTCGGTTAGCCTATATATTTTACGAGAATATGCTCATCAACTGTTCTCACAACCAGAGCATCAGACAGGCATAGAGTTCATGTGTAGGTCAATGACAGTTATAGTGGTGTGGTATAGTGGTTAACAAAAATGTTTTAATTATTTCTTTCTTCAAATTTAATTTAATTTAATTTAGGTTTGGTAGACTATCTATCTATAAAAGTTTCTAAAAAACCTAAAAACATTTCATTTTATTATTTAAATTGTTGACTGATAGTCTCTCCTTATTAGCATGTTAAACCATCTCACTTAAGCTTCTTTTAAAATACAGCATACTATTATTCTCGGAAAGCTCTTCAGTGGTTGGAACTGAAAGAAGAGCTGCTGTAATCAGGTCAGTATGAAATTAGGCCAGGCTTCTCTTGGTGGTCATAACAGCCACATTACCCCCTGAAGTAGGAGGCCTTGAATTATATGTACTTTTTGATTAATGTCTTGGTCATTCTGTTAAAAATGGGGTCACCGCATTTGTGCTGTGTAATCAATTATTTAATGTTTGTCCATGTGGGATCTAATGGACTTCTTTTCTTGAAATTTTTGTTGAGTTTAAATGAGTTTAAACAAACTTTAATGGGACAGATAACTTAAAAATGATATGAGTTTTTTTTTTCTTCTGTTGAACATTAAAGAAAATATTTGAAGAATGTGGGTAACAAAGAGTTTCTGGTCCCCATTGACTTCCATAGCATTTTTTTTCCTCCATACTATGGAAGTCAGTGGGGGCCAGTAACTATTTAGTTAGCAACATTATTCAAAATATCTTCTTTAATGTTCAACAGAAGAAAGAAATTCATACAGGTTTTGAACCGCTTGGTGGTGTATAACAGAATTAAAAATTTTGTATTAAAAAAATCTTTTTTTTTTTTAAATAAAGAATATTTCATTTTTCATTTTCACTCACATTTTCTTTAGAAAAAGTAAAACTGGGAAAAAAAAATTGTGCTGAAAATAAATGTATGTCTGTTTATGCTAAATTAATCTTAATTATTCTGAATTATACATTGTATATACTATATACAGTATCTCACAGAAGTGAGTACACCCCTCACATTTTTGTAAATATTTTATTATATCTTTTCATGTGAAAATGTAAAGATGCTACAAATGCTACAATGTAAAGTAGTGAGTGTACAGCTTGTATAACAGTCATTTCTTCAGTGTTGTCACATGAAAAGATATAATAAAATATTTATAAAAATGTGAGGGGTGTACTCACTTCTGTGAGATACTGTATGTTCAATGCAATTGATCTAATTACAGTTTGTTACTAGAGTGTGTACATGCTTATTGCAGTCTCTTTTCCATCAAAGGAATTATTACTCCTCCATATAAAGCCATATTGGTGTTGGCAATGGATTTAGGTCGGGGAATTAGAGGCTTCATAAATTAGCGAGACTGCAGGGTTGGTCAGCATCTTGGACATTTTAACAAATGCTTTCTAATTATATTTCCATTCAGTCCTGGAGGAGCAGAAACAGAATAGGCTAGTTCTGTAGTAGGTTTGTTTCCACAGCGACTGACCAGTTAAGCCTAGTTTTGCACTTGAATGAGTTTTCAGTGGATCACTTTTCTCAGAGTAATTTGTCTTTTGATAACCCAGTTCATTGTACTGCATGTGCAACACTCACAATACACGATACTTTAAACGCCATTGTAATGATGCTCATCTGCATTATGGTCTTGGTTGTCTGACATAGTCATGCATCAGTGTTGATGATGAAACATTCTGTAATTCCCTCTGTTTATTTGCATGGTATTTTTCCTTTTGAGAGCAGCATCTCTGAATGAATTGACATGCTGGTGATATCTCATTAGTGTGGGGTAGAGCAAGCGAGTGACAGCTGCTATAAGACATTTCTCTGTCAGTGTGAGTGGCTCTGTATGTGCTTTATTGGTAGATGTGTTAATGATTCACGAGCTGATGCTGAGATTACCAAAGCCAAGATGCTGAAATGCCATGTGTTAGAGTGAGCAATTGCTATTCAACAGCTCATCTTCACTAGACTGGTTCAAAATAATTGGAAAATCCCCCTTACTAGTTCTTCCTTTCAGCTTTTCACTGCCTCTAGGAATGAACATAGTGTGATAATAGAGCAGAAAACACATCTTGTGTTGTAGAAGTATATGTAAGCGATTATGCACGGTCAACTGATTATTATCGCAAAATAAATCTGGATCAGGTCTTCTGTCATCCTCAAGGAGTTTATCATCAAGTCATGACTGGCTGACTGTAAATATTCCCACTTATCAAATAAATATGGACATTGGTGTTATTGCATTATCTTACTTGTTGATTAACTTCCACTTATAGTCTTATGTGTATTATATCTTGTTTACCTTTTCATTTTCTTGCTTTAACTGAGATTCTAACTATCATCAAAAGGTTTAATTATGTATTGGTATTATCATTATTATTAATAATGATATTATTAATTTTGAACATTAAAGAAGATATTTTGAATAATCATTATCATTAATACTGAAAATTATATTCAGTAATATATACACTACAGTTATTGTATTATCTTATTTGTTTGTTAATTTCCGCTTAGAAAAAATAGTCAATCCAAATATCACAATTTAAATATTATTTTTTATAAATTGCATATTCTATGGATTATTTTTAGATATTTAGATCATTTATATATTAAGATATTTAGCTAATACAACATTCTTCCTTTGTTTAAATGTTTTGTCTCGTTTATTATTTTAAAAAAAATTTGCTTCTGAAATGTTTTGGTTTCTGACCATCATCAAATGGTTTAATCATTAATACTGAAAATTATATTCAGTATTATATAGAAAAATTCTGTATACACTACTATTAAATGTTTTTTGTAAGAAATACACTTTCAGTAAAGATGCATTAAATTGATCAAAAGTGACTCTAAAGACTTTTACATTATTACTTAATTTCTACATTTCATAATTTCCCATAAATCTGTTTCCCTTAATTATGTGTGGATCAGTTTTTTATGCATTGGGAATGTTATTATCATCTTGAAAATGGGAACGGCAGGAATAGTGCAACAGAGGCTACCACTATTGCAACCTGGTCTTGCAAAATAGGCTCATATTCTTTTACCATTATATGGCCATGCAGAGCCATCATTAGACTCCCTTCAGATGGCTACCCATACTATTATAGACTCACATTTTTTACAACACATCTTTTGCCTTTTTTATGTAGCAAGCAACTGCCCTGTAAAGTAATCATCTGTTGGTATATGAGCTTCAGTGTGCTTATTTGACATAATTATTTTTGAGACCATTACCCATAATAGTATAATAATAATTTGCTGTTTATGTGCGACTACAGCCTCTTGGAAGCTCTACTAGTGTTGCTTCGAAAATTCACATATCAAAGTCCTAATTTTCAGCCCACTTTTGAAGCTGACACATGCCGCTAATTGGTCATCGGCTCAATTTGAGACATCTGTGCGATTGCATCAGTAATTGTGCAATTGTCCATTATTGGTTTTGAAGAACTGCCATTGAGATGAATAGCATATTTTTTCCTCTTTAAACTAGCTTTCCATCACACGTGCAATAAATATTTTTTGAAACCTGAATAATGTGGAGCAGTCATGTCATGTCACTTTGGTCCACAGGCTCTGACCAAGGAATGTCTACGGAGGAGAAGCCTGAAGCTCCCATGTATGTCTATGAGTCAACAGTGCATTGTGCCAATATCCTCCTGTGCCTGAATGAACAGCGGAAGCAGGACGTCCTGTGTGATGTGACAGTGCTGGTGGAGGGGAGGGAGATCCGTGCCCACAGGGCAGTGCTGGCAGCTTGTAGCCAGTATTTCTCCCTGCTGCTCAGGGGCCAGACGGAACTTGAACCGGTCATCAACCTGCCACAGAAGGTGAGTGTCCTCATTTGGTAGGGGTACAGATTCAGCATACATTAACAGCCTGCAAGGATGCACCTGAATGACCTGCACTGAAAACCTCACAAAAATCCCAGCTGTGTCAGAAGAGGGGAGATATGAGATCTCTGAAATTGCATTTACTGCATATAAATACCCTTATTTTCGTTTCTTTGTTTCATTTTATTTGTCAGTTTTAGGACCATTATTTCCTTTTTAATAAGGCAATTAATCAAAAGATTTGTAGCAGATAACCGTACCAGTCTGAAAAATTAAAAGACATCATTTCAATACACAGTGTTTTGAAATATTTTTGATTGCATTTAGAGTGAATGTTGTGTACAGTTCCACAGTCATGAAAAATAAAATTGAGTTTAAAAAAGTGTAATTTTTTAATAAAAAAGGAGTCTTGAAATTGAATATACACTACCATTTAAAAGTTTGGTGTTTTTCAAGAAATTAATACTTTTATTCAGCAAGGAAACATTAAATTGCTCAAAAAAGACAGTTTCCCTTCCAAATAAATGCTGTTCTTTTGAACTTTCTATTTGTCAACCGTTTTTTTTTTTAATGTATCCCAGTGTCCTCAAAAATATTAAGCAGTTTATATTATAAATATTAAACTGTTTTAAAATTAATAATAAGAAGAAATGTTATAAAGATAAGATTGTTTTGAAAGAAATTATAAATTTTATTTTATTTAGCAAGCACACATTAAATTGATCAAAAGTGATGGTAAGGACATTTATAATGTTACCAAACAAATCTATCGCAAATAAATGCTGTTTTTTTTCTTTCTATTCATCAAAGGATCTGGTATATTTCCTCAGGCAGCACAACTTGATCATAATAAATGTTTCTTGAGCACCAAATCAGCATATTAGAATGATTTCAGAAGGATCATGTGACACTGAAGACTGGAGTAATGGCTGATGAATTTCAATTTTTTTTTTATAATATTTCAATAATATTTCTGTTGTGTGTAGTGGTGGGTGGTTTGACCAAAAATCTGTATCACTTTTTTTTGTTGTTTTTTTTAGGACTATGGCGTTTTTGTTTTTTTGTTTTTTATCACGCTTTTTCCCTGACTGGGCATTTATATGAATCAGAATACATGAAACAGTTGCAGAACCACTGCATTTTAATCACAATCCAATTAAATTAAATTGTTTAATAATTTTACAATTTAAAGCAAAAACAGAACGGTCTGGCTTAAGCTTTGTGAAACTATACTACATAAAACATATCTGCACGAAACAAAAACAACAGACAGGCTGAATGAGAGCTTGAGAACATACTGTGAATGTGAAACAAAAATAATTTGAGGCCGCTGGCGATCTTTGCAGATCAAACCAGTTTACAGTTTGAACCGGTATATCACCCAGCACTAGTTATGTGTTGTAATCTATTGCTGTTTTACTGTACATTTGATCAAAATATTTTCCTTTTAGGAATATTGTTTTCTAACAACAAGAAATGTGCTCCTTTGTGTACAGATAGATAGAGAAGTCCGACAGGAATGTGTCAGTGAAGAAAACATGTTCATCGTCTGCAGCTTTGAGTTAGCATAATTGCTTATGTTGTTTACCAGAAGTGTTAGCAGAGTTCCCTCTCAGAACTTCACTGTGCTTGAGGAAGTATGATTTATTCATGGCTGATTCTCTGTGTTGTAATACTTTAGGTGCTTTGCGATCTCAAAGCTCAAAGTTGTATTACAATATCCCAGATATGTCAGAAGGCCCCCATTTGCCTCTGCTTATATATTAATTATCGTTCATCTTCAAAACACTTAATGTCAAATTGTATTCTGTAGTGACCGGGAAATTGGCTTCATATCTCATTCTCTCCTCAGAGCCGTGCTGAGCTGCTTCCCTCTTGCTTTATATTGTGGAGTCTCTGCTTTCTGCTTTGTATGTGTACATGCGTCCCTGCCTGCTGCCCTCATTAGGATTGCTGGTTATAACATTAAAGGAGTCTCATATGGCGCTTGGCTTCCATAAAGACATGCTTCTGCAGGGTGCAGCTGTTGATGCCAGCTGAAAATAGATCCACAGAATGCTCAGCATTTTCCCCCCCTAGCTTTTCTATTTATTAGCAGCTCTGGGAGGACTGAGTGAATGTCTGGGGGAGCTGTATTTTCAGCAGGATGACTTTCTATTTTAAAGATGATGTTCTTGATGTGGTTGCGCTGCCCCAAGCATTCATGGATACCTGCGAGAGTGATAGAGTGATTGAAAGTGATGAGAATGGTGGGGGTTTTTTTGTTCTTGACACTATGCAGTTCACTTCATTTTATTACTTGACGTAAAGCTTGTGAGACATTGAATAGGAAGCTCAGATACTTTGTAGCATAGATGCAGTTTTTTTATAGCATGATTAATAAAATGTGATTTGAGGATCAGCTGATTATTCTCAGTCATTTGTGGTCACGGTTTTCACAAAAATATTAACCAGAACAAATGTTTTTTGAGCGCCAAATCAACATATTAGAATGATTTCTGAAGGATCATGTGAGACTAAAGACTGGATTAAAGGCAACTGAAAATTAAGCATTGCTATCACTGGAATGAATTGCCTTTAAAAAATATTAAAATAGAAAACATTTGGTCAAATAAATGCAGCCTTGGTGAGCATAAGAGACTTCTTTCACAAAATGTTTTACTTCTTACTGACCCCAAACTTTTGAACGGTTGTGTGCATCTATATATTAGTCGATTCTGATTTAATTTCTGGGGGTTTGTTTTCCTATGTTAATTATTTTTCTATATTAATTCTATTTCTATATAACTTTTTTTCTATTTCTATATTACTTTTTTCTATATAAATATTTATATTAATTTCTATACATTTTTACTTTTAAATTACCTTTGTCATCATCTAAAACTTACTTAATCTTTAAAAATTTTAATAATTTAATAACACTGTTAAATGTTGTTGTTGGCAAATATCAAAATAAACATACTTTTTTTTCATACTGTACATTAATGTTATAACTGCATTCACTTGTTACATTTAAAAAATTTTTTTTTTTTGTGTTCTTTTTTTATTTATTTAGACAAAGTTGTATATATCTTTTTTTAAAGATTTTATTTATGGGCTATTTTATGCCTTTATTTGGACAGGACAGCATAGAGTAGACAGGAAAGCATTGGGTGGAGAGAGAGGGGAGCGGGATCAGCAAAGGACCACGAAAAGGGTTTTCAAATTCGGGTCGCCGCACTAACCATGAGGCTATTGACACTGACAGTAGTATCAAATTTTATCGTCTACCATTAATAAGAAATATCAGTGCATCACTATTACCCAAGTTACAGTAGTAAAACAGCCTTTTGTAATTCTCATAAAGGAGGTAGAAAATGTATGGAAATGATGGCAGTAAACCTTGAGTAACAATATAAGTGGTGTAAGGGTATGTTTCAACCATGTTTTGACCAAATCTTAGATTGTCTGATTCGGTCTGATATCCTACAGTGGTTTTTGGGGAAACAAATAAAATGTCACAAAAGTGCCGCTTTAATTTGATTAAAATACCACTAATGACCCTAAAATATCAGCTTGTTTTCTTTTCTTTTTATAGATCACGGAGAAAGGCTTTACCCCACTGTTGCAGTTTGCTTACACAGCCAAGCTGCTGCTCAACAGGGACAACATCCAGGATGTCATGTGTTGTGCCGAATTCTTGGGAATGCACAACCTCGAAGACTCCTGCTTCCGCTTCCTGCAGGCCCAGATGAAAAGTGAGGCTGATGGCATCCAGACCAGCCAGAATCCACCATCACCTCAGACTCTGGTTCAGAACCATCATGATAATGGATTAGAGGATGCAAATGTGCAGCCAAATGACTCCAAACCACCACTGTCCGGATCAAGGCTGCACCCTGAAACTGAGCAATTAAAAGTCACCAACAACCTGCATCAATCAGACCAACCTCCAACTTTCGACCTCCCTCGTTATCCCAAATATAGAAAGTACCATCAGGTTCTTGCTAAGCACAACGCAACCACCTCCTCTCACAGCAGTACCTCAAGCTTACACGGCTCCCTGCAGGATACCGTCACCAGCAGCGAAGCCCAGGGCCTTGATCTTTCCCAGGTTAAAGCAGAACCAGCAAGTGGGAACTTGTCCGAGTTGGAGCAGGACGGTCTGTTCGGGGGTAAAGGGAGTGAGATGGAGATGGAAATGGAGTTTGATGGAAGACAACTTAGTTCAACGCCCATCGAATTGCCTGTGAGCAAGCATTCACCAGTGTGCCTGCGCTCCCTTGTTAAAAAGGAAATCACGTCTTCGGATCATTGTCTTACCGCTGATCTGCAACTCACCAGCAGAACCTCTCCCCTTCGAGAACCACAAGTTGCTCCAAATGACTTCCAAAAAGACTATCAGACCTTCGTTGGGGGACTTGGAGTGATATCCTCAAAGAATGCTGAGAAATTAACTGATGGCATGTCACTCAAGTCACTTTCCTTTGAGAGGATCTGTTCCCAAGAATCTGAACGGGAGAGTGACCGAAGAAGTGTCATCTTCTCCTCTCGAGCCCCTTACCATCTGGCGGCACCCGCACACTCTTATCCGGGTGAGAGCTGTTTGGGCCAGGAGACCCCGGATGACTTATGGGCAGGTTCCAGCCAGTCGTTCCCCTGCTCCCAAGCACTGTCCCCAACTTCTGTCTCTCAAGAGCCCGCATTGCCCTATCGCCGCCGGCCAAAGAGCAGCTGTCCGGTGCCCAGCAGTAATATTTAGAAACGTATTTAAAAATAACTTTTCTATTTTAATATCTTTTAACATATGATTTATTCCTGTGATAGCAAAACTGAATTTTCAGCAGCCATTTCTCCAGTCTTCAGTGCCACATGATCCATAAAAAATGATCAATTTTGAAAAATAGAAATTAATATTTGTATTGATGAATTAGAAATTAATATAAAGTTCAAAAGAACATTTATTTATCATAATTGTCTGTACTCTCACTTTAGAGTATCCTTGCTGGATAAAAGTCATAATATTTTTTCTTAAACTGTAAGATTTAAAATTTTGACAATGACTGATCTGATACTGCATAATTTTAGCATTACATAGCATTTATGTGGAAGATATATATATATATATATATACACACATATATATTACAAAATAAATCTTAGTCTCTTAATGAAAATTAAGTTATTTATTGTTTTATATTTGTTGAGTTTCCGAAGTTTAGTTTTCTAGTTTAAGCCTGAATGCAAATAAATAAAACATTTCATACAAGTTAGATGGCAGTGTCATCTAGTGGTGAAGTTCCATATTTTCTGACGGTTGTGTGAAATTTGCAGAAT